TCCTTGGCAAATAGAAGGGGAAGTCGTGGAAGTAGTGACAGACTTCACGTTCCTGGGATCCCAGATCACCGCAGACTGTGACAGCAGCCATGAAATTAAAAGACGCCTGCTCCTTGGGAGGAAAGCGATGGCGAACCTAAACAGCATGATAACAAGTAGAGACATCACCCTGCCAACAAAAGTCCACATGGTCAAAGCAATGGTATTCCCAGTAGTCATGTATGGCTGTGAGAGTTGGACTATAAGGAAGGCCGAGCGCAGAAGAATAGATTCTTTTGAACTATGGTGCTGGAGAAGACTCTTGAGAGTCCCTTGGACTGCAAGAAGATCAAATCAGTCAATCCTAAAAGAAATCAACCCTGACTGTTCCCTGGAAGGCCAGATAATGAAACTGAAGCTCAAATACTTTGGCCACCAAATGAGAAGGGAGCACTCACTGGAGAAGACCCTGATGCTGGGAAAGATTGAAGGTCAAAGAAGACGGGGACGGCAAAGGATGAGATGGTTAGACAGTGTCATAGATGCAACGAACATGAAGTTGAGCAAACTTCAGAGGACGGCGGAAGACCGGAAGGCCTGGCGTGATCTGGTCCATGGGGTTGCGAAGAGTCGGACTCGACTGTGCGACTGAACAACAACAACAAAAGAAGAAGGGGACGGCAAAGGATGAACAGTGTTATCGATGCAACAAGCATGAAATTGAGCAAACTCCGGAGGACGACAGAAAGGTCCTGGCATGATGTAGTCCATGGAGTCATGAAGAGTCGGACTCAACTGTGCGACTGAACAAAAACAAATGTAGAATTCTAACATTTCCCTTCATTTGGGATTATGCCTTGGCTGTTTTACAAAATGTACAGCCATTAAGGTGGCCATGTAGGCTGCTATATTGTTTTCCCCTTTCTGATTGCGCTTCCCCTTTGCCTTTCTTAGTCTTTAGTCAGTATTTATTTTACTAAGATTATTAGGGGTTTTTTTTTGGCTTCCACGGCTTCATTTTCTAGCATTTTTACATATATATGTGTGTGTTTGTGTTTGACACCATAACAGAATTTGTATTTTTGGTCTAGATTTCACCTTTCAAGGGATGCCCAGATTTGTTTTTCTTTCTTTCTGAGACAGTGCTAATGTGTATCATTCTGGTGGTCTCAGCACTGCATTTTTTTCAGAGGATTTCTGGAAGTTAGTGTCATCTCAGATGTCTCATTCCCTAGTGTTATGTTTTGTAAACAAATAGTACAATCTCAGTTTACATTTAGAAAGGTTCAGCAATATTATGCAAAAAACAAGTTATCGTTCACTGTGGGAGCCTATTATTGGATAGAATTCTAGCACGGAAGGTTAATTTATTCTTAGTTACAGGCAAACTGCTTCTCTTAAGCAGTCTTTCATCCTTGGATTCTGCAACTTTAAAGTCCAAAGAGGTGTTGCCTGTCTTCTTTAAACTTGGTGCTCATATCTCATCACTCGCATGATTAAAAACATGTGTAGTTGTTGAGTCTGCAAGTTGTGTTCTTAACTTATAGGCATAAAATACTATGCACATACAAGAGGCAGGCTCACAAGACTTGTTGAGATCCCCCCCCCCCATGCTTCCTTGCTGGGCCACTGGTCTGCAAAGCCTCCACCAACAGCTGCCTGGCTCATGCAGTGGGGAGGTGGTGGGGGCAGCTTCAGTTCCACTGTTCTCCTCCACCCCCACCTGCTTGCAGTGCTGCCACCTCTGCCTGTCTGACATATGTGGCAGTGGCTCCAGTGGCAGCTCTCAGTTTCCTCACCTGCCCTCTTGCTTGGCACATGCGGCAGTGGTTTCTTCACCTCTCTCCGTCGACCACCTGGCTTGGGCAACAGTGGCAGGTCCTGTTCCTCTGCCAGTCTCACAGCTACCACAATTCTCTTATGTTGTCTGTGCCTCTCTTTGGGGTGGTTTAACCCCCTCTATTTGGGGGCAAGTGTTTCGCATAATCTGCAAACCTGGGGAGGCCCACAGGTCTACAAAAGAATTCCCCCTATCTGAACCTATTCTCTGGCTTTTTCTATCCACTTGGGAACTAGGTTCAGAATTAGATATATGATACTTTAAAAACATAGGTAGAATCTAGTCATAGTTTATGCATTTTTGGTCCCATTGATTTTAATAGAAGATAGTTAAGCAAGGGTAGCATTATGTATAGCAGGCCTGTATATGAAATGTTTGTGGTTTCTCTGTTTAAGTAGTATAAGGAATAAAAATAATTCTCCTCTGACTCTTAAGACTTCAGGTGTGAAGGGTTTTGTTACATAAAAGTAGTCCTCAATACTGACAAAAGTTAATATAGTAGACTAAAACATGGAAAACTATTTTGAAGAGAACACTGTCCATACTGGATGTGGATGAGAGTTAAATTGCTGTAGAACTATAGTAAAGCTTGCAGGTTCATAACTGATATATCCCCCCCCACCCCATTTAGATTGGCAGGGAACTCCCAATCCGACCCAGTGGCAGCAGACACATCAAGAAGCAAACATTTGTTGTACATGCTGGGACAGATACAACAGGGGACATTTTTTTCATGGAGGTAGAGTACACATTAAAAGTTAATAAAATTAGTAATATAAACTGAGTTTTGCTTGATGATTCCCGTCTAAGACTCTTTGTGCCTTCAGGTATGTGATGACTGTATTGTGCTGAGGAGCAACATCGGCACTGTCTATGAACGTTGGTGGTATGAAAAACTCATCAATATGACATACTGTCCCAAAACTAAAGTGCTGTGTCTCTGGAGGAGAAATGGCCAGGAGACCCAGCTGAATAAGTTCTACACCAAAAAGGTAAATTTTCCGTTATTTATTTATTTATTTCATTTCATTTATACCCCGCCCTCCCCGCACGCGGGCTCAGGGCGGCTTACATAGGCACAGCAGTGCAATAAAATACAACAGGATTAAAACAATTAAGGCACCCAAAGTGCGATCATAAAACTAAACAGGTTAACCACTTACTTTTGTTACAGCAAGAATAGAAATAAAAATGCATTTGACTGACAGCTTCAGGCTTTGCAGTTTTTGAATCTTCCATGTGTTATTAGTATTGAGTTAACAAGCGCTCTTTGAGAACAGTTTATAACTTGAAATTGTTTGCATGAGTGAAGATGCATAATATTAAACCTTTACCTAAAGGTTAAGAAAACATAAATATAAAGGCCAAATAATACTGTTGGTCAATTTAAAAATTAATAGATATTAAGAAATATACAAAAATACACGTATTTATTTCACAATACATTAAAAATATAGCCTCAATTATAATTGAAAATATATAAGATTGTCAATGATAATTGAGGTTATTGTAAGGGCCAATATCTGTTATTAATCTGTTGTGAAATAAATATGTCTGTTTTCGTATATTTCTTAATAGCCATTAATTTTTAAATTGACCAACTATTATATGGCCTGTATGTTTATATTTTCTTAACCTTTAGGTACATAATTCAATTTATTTTGGGTTAAGTTTTTTCTCCTTTTTTTGGTTGAAGTTGCATAATATGTCATCTATGTCAGCAATTTTAAACATAGTTTCAAAAGGTGAGCTATGGGTGCCATGTTTCTGGTAAACTGCTAACATCCTAATCTTGGGTTGAAAATGTGATTGTTGCAGTCGTAATCTGTGTACATAGGGAGAGTTCTGCTGGATCTGACCACTGGTCTAACTAGTCCAGCATCCTGATTCACGGAGTGGCCAATCAGTTGCCCCAGAGGGCAAACAAACAAAGCATAGAGGCCAAGGCTTTCCCCTAATGCTGCTTTGTAGCTCTGTAATTCAGAAGTTTGCTGACCCTTCCCTTTACCCACCATGGCTAATAGCCATTGATGGACCTTTTCTCCAAAAAACAACTCCATCCTCTTCAGCCATTCCTCATAGGAAAGGTACTCCAACCCCTTAATCATCTTAGTTGCCCTCTTCTGGACTCTTCCAGCTCTGCAATATTCTTTTTGAGGTATGATGACCAGAATGGTATACAATAATCTTCTTCGTGGTCTCTGTGCAGTCCCACACATGGGTTGGGTGCCTGTGCATGACCTCACTGGAGAAACTTCCAGAGCTTGTCTCAGAATCCTTTTGGTGGGCACTGCGCATGCCTGGAGCGGGGAAGACAGCCATCTCCCACTCAGTTCTTCTTCAACCACCCTTGTGTTCACACCTCTCCTCGTTGTCTCTTCGCCTCAGCTAAGTCCCTTACTTCGTCCTAACTTTTCCTTTCTCTTTTCCTCTTCGGACTTTTCCTTCTTTGTCTTCACTCTAAAAAAACCCAAAACTTTTCTTCACTTATTTTTTCCCTCACCCCTCCCCCTCTCCCCCTGTTTGGTCGGGAAGGTGTCTCTTTATTAAGGAGTGTTGCTGCTGTCCTGCTAAGCTCCCCTCAAATGACGGACATGATTTGTGTCTAATTTGTCTTGGGGAACAGCACCAAGTTGAGACTTGCCTTCACCGTGCCAAGTTCACTAAGCAGGCCCAACGTAATCAAGCGGCATACCTCAAAGCTGTGCTTTTAGAAGCAGCACTTTGCCCAGGAATCGTCCCTCTTCAGTGCCTGCTCAGAAGCCTTCAGACTTGGTGGTTCTGTCTAAGCCACCGAAAAAGCCACATAAATCCAAGAAAATGGAGACTGCTGAAGCTTCAACCTCGAAATTGAAAAAGTTGAGTTTGGCTCCAGCTCCTGCACTCGAACCCATCATCATATTGGGTGTCTCGACATTGACCCAGGTAGCTTGCCTGGCCTCTATGGTGCCTCCAAAGACTGACGATAACCCACCTGTGTTGAGTCCAGCTCTCTCTGCTCAGACTGATGTGTCACACTAGGCCAACGACCTCCACTCTGGATCTCTAAATCTCTGCTTTCCCTTTATACTTTGACCTTGGTTCAGAAGCACTGGTCTGTCTCCAGAGACTCCCATCCTCCTCTCCACCTTTTGGATGACAGGGAACAGTTCTTGCGGAGCTGGTTGCGTTCTCCTTGCTCACACTATGACCGCAGGGAGTGTAGGTGCCATTGTTGTCCCTTGAGATCCTGGTTCTGATCTTGGGAATCCTAGTCTCCTCGGAGGGCTCAATACTTTACTCTTTGCTCCTCCTACTCCAGATTGCCAATGCCATTCTATTTTCGCCACTCTGTTCACAGTGAGTGTACACCCCCTTGTCATGCCAGCCTTCAATCTTGTCATGCCCGCTTGCCCTCTTATGCATCTACGTTCTTTGGACTTACATGCTCCAATTTCAGATGCCTCGACTGTTTGGGATTGTATGGAAGTATTATTTGGCATTGTGGTGTGTCCCCCTTAAGGCTCTGAAGCGAAATACCATCCGGGCCTTGTAGGGAGGATATAAGAAAACTTGGCAATTGTTCAAGCAGCAGCTGTAGCTAATTGAGGCACCGTTACTGACCAAGCCGGCAGTGGAACAGAGACAACAGTTCAGGAGAGAAAAGCAAGTTTTCTTCCACCAAGGTGGCTCTTTGATAAAAGACTTTCCCTTGAGATCCTGGTTCTGATCTTGGGAATCCTAGTCTCCTCGGAGGGCTCAATACTTTACTCTTTGCTCCTCCTACTCCAGATTGCCAATGCCATTCTATTATCGCCACTCTGTTCACAGTGAGTGTACACCCCCTTGTCATGCCAGCCTTCAATCTTGTCATGCCCGCTTGCCCTCTTATGCGTCTACGTTCTTTGGACTTACATGCTCCAATTTCAGATGCCTCGACTGTTTGGGATCCAGCCCCTAACGCTCCTTCTGGTCTTCCAGATCAGTCAATTTCTACAATTCATGATCAGTCTAAGACGTTCGCTCAGCTTACTCCACCACCCTTATTGATCTCCTTGGATTCTGATTCAGGTCACTCTGATGCTGGCAGCATGAATGCCAAGGTGATCCTTGAAGATGATGATCTCATGTGTACGGAGTCCGTTTCTCCCACCGAGGGTCTCAAGGCTTTCTTAGAACTCATCACCAGGTTGGCTACTGCTCTTCAGATGCAGGGTGCAACTGAAACACCCATTGTTATGGATGTCATCCACAAGTAAGCTGAGCTACCTCCGTCTACCATCCTTCCCCTTCTTCCTGTGCATTTGTCAGTGTTGAAGGACTCCTGGGACTGCCCTGTCTCAGTTCCTCCTGCCTCCAAACACTACGAGGCACTGTGTAAGGTGCAGGAAACTTCGGGTAAATTCCTATTCAATCATCCCCCAGTGAATTCAATGATTGTCCACTCTTCTTCGAAATTGAAACAACCATGTCAGTTGGTTCCCCCAGATCGGGAAGGCCGCAAGGTTGACTCCCTTGCCAAGAAGATATATCCTCTCTTCTCTTCTCTTCTCTTCTCTTCTCTTCTCTTCTCTTCTCTTCTCTTCTCTTCTCTTCTCTTCTCTTCTCTTCATGCATCAATACTTACCTTTCCTATCTGGCTGCCTATACTTTCAATGTGTCCTCGGCTGTCAGACCCATCTTAGATGTGGTGCCAGAAGATACTCGACCTACTCTTTCTGCCGCACTTTCTGAAATCTGTGAGATTTCCAAACAGCAAATTAACTCGATACGTCATGCTGTCACCTGCTTCTCCAAGCCTTTGGCTTCTTCTGTCACTCTTCATCACCACGCTTCCCTGCAACCTGATGTCAAGTCTAAAACTGAAGACTTGCCTTTTGATGGAGAGGGTCTCTTCCATGCTTCCACTGATGACACCTTGAAGGAGGTTGATGATAGTCACAAGAAGGCAAGGAATCTGGGAGTATCTTACTCGACCCCGCAGCACCCTTGGTCTCGTTAGTGCAAGCCTTACTACTCCAAATGTCAGACTTCTCCTGCAACACCTGTTACGTGGAAGCGCAAATCCTTCGATTCTCGCTATCCATTCTCTTCAAAATTGAAAACTCAGACACCTGAAAACTCAGGGTCCCATCAACCCAAACAGTCCATTTGACCATCTCACTCACAGAATGCCTTCTCCACCTCTTCCTTTCCCCCTACCCGTCGGCACCTGTCTTCTTCCTCATCTTGCTGCCTGGGAAGAGATTACCACCGATCATTGGGTCCTGACCATCATCCAGGTGGGATATGCCATAGAGTTATTTCGCTTCCAACCTTCTATCATTTCATTGTCACTCCACCTTCACCATTGCTGCTGGCAGAAGTCAACACTCTTCTCCTCAAGAGAGCTATCGAGACTGTTCTGGAAGTGCAATGGACTCTTGGGTTCTACTCCCAATACTTCACCATCCCCAAAAGGGATGGAGGCATTTGAGTGATTATGGATCTCCAAGACTTGAACCTATTTGTCCGCTACAAAAAATTCCACGTGATCACCCTTCAATCTATTCTTCCTCTCCTACCGAAGGATGGATGGTTAGCAGCCATTGACCATCACAATGCCTATTTCCACATTACCATCCGACCTCAGCATCAAACATTTCTCCATTTTGTGATTGGTACACATCATTACCAGTATTGGGTTCTCCCCTTCGGCCTTTCCACCGCTCCTCATGTTTTTACCAAGACGATGGTTGTTGTTGCAGGAGAACTACACCAACGGGGAATCATTCTTTATCCATACATAGATGACTGGCTTCTGGTGGCTTCTTCAAGGACACAGCTCCTCACACATCTCCACAAAGCCCTTACCCTTCTTCACCATTTTGGTCTTTGCGTCAGCCTCCCTAAATCTTTATTGGATCCAACACAGACCTTGCAGTTTCTGGGGGCTCTTCTTAATACCAGACAGAAGATGGGATTCTTCCCGTGGACTTGTGCAAGTGCCATCATCGCCCTGGCTTCAGCTTTCATCCATCATCCTTGCCAATCTGCTTGGTCAATAATGAAGCTTTTGGGCTTCTTTGCCTCAACTGTTTTTGTTGTCCCAAATGCCCACCTTCAAATGAGACCTCTACAGTTACGGTTTTTCCACTCCTTCATTCTGCAACACCATTCCTTGGACAGAATTCTCCTCATCCCTCCGGATATTCTCCTTTCCTTTCGATGGTGGTCTCTCCAGACAAACTTCCTCTGCAGTATGCCCTTTCAACATCATTCTCTGGAGGTCCACATGTCCATAGACTTCTCGATCTGGGGTTGGGGAGCCCAGTGCGGGACTCTGACTGCTCAGGGTTCTTTGTCGAGTTGAGAGATTTGCTTCCACATCAGCTGCCTTGAGCTCATTGCTGTCCATCGGGCCCTCAGATCTTTTTGTCAGGTAGTGGTCAGCAGGACTGTACAAATAGCCTCCAACAATGTTGCCATGGTATTCTACATCAACAAGCAAGGGGGGACGGCTTCTGGGAGATCATGCCACCTTGCAATCACTTTATGGAAATGGTGCCTTTTTCGCATCATCCCCATTTCTGCAGTTCATGTACCGGATGCCTGTAATGTTGACGTGGATTGTCTTAATCACACGATGACCTCTGAAACCGAATGGTCTCTCCATCCCCTTCATCCTGTTTTCCGGGTGTTTGGACATCCGGCGATAGATGGGTTTGTGACAGAGCACAGCACTCAGAGCCTTGGATACTTCACTCAGGGTCGGCTGTCCATGACGTCTCCAGGGGATGTGTTCCTACAACAGTGGACTGGCTGCTTCTTTTACTTTTCCCCTCTGTTTCCACTGATTCCGAGGGTGCTGCACAAGATCCTGGCGAACGCCACTTCATGCATCCTCATCACCCTGTGGTGGCCTTGCTAACCCTGGACATCCTTATCACCCTGTGGTGGCCTTGCTAACCCTGGTTAGCCTCTCTAACCCTGCCTATCGAGGAAAGTTTTCCTCTGTCTCCGGTTCCAGACCTCCTTTCCTGAGATTTCGGTTGGGTTCTCCATCATGATCCCAGATTCTACAAACTCACAGCTTGGAGGATCCTACAATAGTCTTCCCCCCTGCTGTTTCAGAGGTGCTGTTAAACGCCCATAAGCCATCAACTTGTCATACATACCAGGCAAAATGACCTCGATTCACGGCTTATGCCTTTTGGAATTCTTTCAGTCCTTCTGCTGCTTCTTTCTCGGATGTTTTTTCTTACATTGTTTCCTTGAAGGACTCTGGCCTTACCTACTCTTTGTTGAAGGTTCACCTAGCAGCTATTTTGGTGCATCATCTCCTGGTAGATGGGTCTACTGTCTTTTCTCATCGTCTCACCAGATCTTTTTTGAAAGGTCTTCTCCATATGTACCCTCCATAGAAGCCTTTGGTCACAACGTGGAGTCTCTCTCTCTCTGGTCCTTTCCCAACTGATGGGTCACCCCTTTGAACCCTTGGCCTTCACTGATATTCATCTACATTCATGTAAGATGCTGTTCCTCATTGCCATTACTATGGCTTGCCGGGTGGGAGAACTGGCTGCCTTTCAGGCTGATCCCCCATATACGATTTTCCACAAGGACAAAGTTGTTCTCCGAACTGATCCAACTTTTTACCCTAAGGTAGTTTCTGATTTGGCTTCTAGGGAGCCTGAGTAATGCCATATAGGCATTGTATGTTTTTTTTCCGGTTCGGCTGAACCGAATGCACATCCCTATGACCTCTACATCTCTTTCAGTCTCAACTGATTCGGAGTATGGCAAGATATATTTTTTAAGTTAGGATTTTTTTGTTCCAGTGAGCATCACCTTACACCTATCAATAGTGAACCATTTTCCACTCACCAATTTATAAAGCTGACAGAAAGTTGATTCATTTGAAAAGCTGTATTGGAGGAGAGGTTAACTTATACCATGGACCACCAAAAAGACAAATTAGTTGGTCCTGGATCAAATCAAAAGTAATTTTATTATGTATAATAATCTTTTACCTGCCTCGGTGGCCCTTGTGTGGGCAGAAAGCAAGGGTAGAAATTTTGTAAAATTAAAAAATATATATATTTATCACATTTTGTTTCCCTCACACCACCTCCCCGCCCACAAGTTCAGACTAAGTCATATTGGGTTATTTCATTTTATCCTCCCAATAATCCTGGACACTCTGCCACCACTACCACTGTACAGAATCTGAGAACTTAAACAGTTTTCAGCCCTATTCTCCCCCTTTTTTCCCTTTGAAAAATGCATGATTCCTTCTGGGAGTTTCTGCATGTTCTTTTGGAGAAAGAGGAGCTCTAGCAAATGCTGTTAAGGCACAACTGCCTGGAGGATATAACCACCCCATAGTTTCCCATCTCCTTGACCTAGTATATTTCAGTTATTCTAATTCATCAACAATATCCAAGACATGGCACTGTATTTGGATTGTAAGTGAAAAGCCTAAGATAGAAGGCAGGGGCAAATGGCATTAACTTTCCATCCAGTCACCGAGCAGCTCTGACGTGGTTGCAATAATGTTTGACTTATCACCTGGACTGGAATGAATGCATCTTCCTCAGTCACAAGCAGTTGTTTCCTCTGTTATCACAGTGCAGCATGCATTGAGAGTGATATAGTGGATAGCGTTGGATTTGAACTGCAGGGAGCTGGGTTCAAATCCCTGTTTATCCAGGAAAATCATAGGATGACTTCAAGCCAGTCTCCAACTAGATTTTTGTGGAATTAATATGACATAACCCCCAGGCACATCCCCCATAGCTCTGTGAAGGAAGGACAGGATTCATGTCCTGGTTAATAAGTGTCTGCTTAGAGAGTTTGTATTTTATATGCCTTATTTTTAATTTACTTTTAAATTTTCTTCTGTTGTAGTGCCGGGAACTATATTATTGTGTAAAAGATAGCATGGAGCGAGCAGCAGCAAGACAACAAAGCATAAAACCAGGTAAGGGAAGGAATGGAGGAGATCTGGCAGGTATTCAACAACTCTCTTACAATATTTTTGTGGTGATGTGGTGCTTATTATTTAAAGAGTTAGGAAATATTTCTGTTTACTACTGCCAGTGTTGATGGCAAAAGAAGATATTCGTATTCTAGGTGTGTGCAAGGATAGCAGGTACGAAAAAATTGGACATGGACATCAGGGATGGATTATGTGTTGAAGAACAACAGCGAGGAATCCTCTTTAGAGGGCAATAAGTCCTGTCTTCTTCAGTATGTGTTAATGTTACTTGTGTGGAAAGTACAAAAGTAAGTGACATCCCAAATACAGTCTGTTTATGGTCATGTTATTATAGCTTCAGCTGCTATAATATGAAAAGACTGAGTGAGCTAATTTAAAATCTTTTTCTTATCCTAAAACTCACATAAATTCATATGAAGTGAGAAACTTGTGGGAAAGGAAATCTTACCCCTCGCACACGCACACAAAGTGGTCCATGTTTCGTCTCATCTTGCTCATCTCTCCTCCTTCCCCCATCGGTGCCATCACCCCCTACTACTCTTCTTCTCCCCCTATCACCCCTCTGCCTTTAAGCTCTTTCTTTTTCTTCTGCTCTTTTCAGGCACACTTTTATAAAAAAACCCCAACAAACCCTAGTTGTATAGACAAGCCCAGAATGGCACTATGATCTTGTAAGATCTCAGTTTACACTTATAAAAAGTGAATGGTATGGAGGTTATGGAGGTTCACAGGTGACTCTTTGTTTTGGGGGGCAGGGGTTAACCTCCACTTTTTAAACATTTTCTGCAAGCTTTAGGGTTCTTTCTGTACCTGATCCCATTGTACAGATTTTTAAATTTTTGGATCTGCACTTTGTTGCCAAGTTCAAAATAAGATACAAGATCAATTAATAAATCGTTTGTTTTGTTAGCTACTTTTGAGCAAGCGAGATTTTGGGGAAATTTAAAACTGTATATTTCTTGGTTCAGGACTTGTGTTTTGAAATGTCATGTTCTCTTAAAGTCTGGGAAAATAGCTTTAAACCAACTTTAAATTTCTAAATTTGTTAGATACCTAATTTTTGATTATGTTCGTAGGGACTGGGAGGGACTTTTTCTGCTGTTCCTCATTATATATAGTAGAAACCAAAAATGAATTATGGCTGTGTTTTGGGAAGATAATTGCTTGCCAGGATTCCTCTGCAATAGAGCATGCTTTCTCTCTCTCTCTCTCTCTCTCTCTCTCTCTCTCTCTCTCTCTCTCTCACACACACACACACACACACACACACACATATATATATATATGAGCTACTGTAAGCTCTTGGAGGATTGGCTACATTAGGGGTGTGTCGCTTAATATGCAAATGAGTACTTGCTACAAAAAGAGCCCTGAATATATAGATATAGTGGGGCAAAAAAAGTCCTTTTGTTGTATATATTTCTTCAGATCATTTGTATTTTGTGGGGCAAAAAAATCTTTTTGTTGTTGTTCTGCTATAGGCCCTGAACTGGGTGGAGAATTCCCAGTGCAAGACATGAAGACTGGCGAAGGAGGGCTACTCCAAGTCACACTGGAAGGAATTAATCTGAAATTCATGCACAATCAGGTAGGAAAGAACCTTCAATGATGTGGATTTGAGCATGAAGCTTCTTGAAGCATTCCAATAAGAATGTGTTTCCTCTTCCCTGCATTTGCAAGGGGGAAGGAAAAGGGATACATTTTTTCTAATTTTGTAATTAGAGAATCTTAGTGTTAGGCAGATACAACATGCTTTTGCACAAGATAGTGACTTTAAGTACTAGTGGATAAAATTTTTAAATTGTCTATCAGAGACCTGTGAAAATATGGCCAAAAGTATTTTCAAAGGTTTTTGAGCAATAAGTATGCAGCGGGGTTCTTCATTAAGCTTTTCTTCACGATGTTATAGATGAAGAGTGTATTTTTTATTCAAAAAGTACAGTTAATATAATGTTATGGGTTTGGCTATGTTAGATTTCTAGAATTATCTCCAGCAACATTTAATAATAGTGGAATGCTGGAGACAGATTGTGTGAACATGGCACAAAACAGATATTAGAAATTCTAATGGAGCAGTTCATTCTCAGTAGTGTACTCTAATCATATAAAAGAACTAAAACTGGCATTTGAAAGTTATTTGAATAGCTTTATCTGGGATCATGAGTAGTTCTTAATAGTAGAAAGATTGTTCAGTATATACAGAGACACAGAGAGTCTTTCTCATAAAGAAAAAACATATTGTTTGTCCCTTTTGGGTGTAGAGGAAACACAAATGGAATTGTGTTGTCACTCTTTGTCCTTTTATCTGGATGTATTTTCTTTTTGCTTCTCTTGATCATTGTTTTTCTTTTGCTTTGTGTTCATGTTTGTGTTGCACATGTTGTAGAGTCAGTTTCAGGGCTGTGACTATGTGTGCGCGCATATATATATGTGTGTGTGAGATTGAGAGAAAAACAGAGAATAAAATTTGTCAGGCAGTCTCCTGTGCAGTGCATCGTTTTCTTGTATGTTCAGCCTTCCCACTACTGGTGCCCATAAGTGACGTGGACTGAGCTCCAACAAAGCTTTATACACATGCATAGGAAATCCAGGGATGTGTTCAGAGGCTTTTTTTTACATTCCCACTGCAACCTCTTGTGCTGCTAAAGAGGCAAGCCATATTTCAGTTGAAATCATATAAAATAAATAGCTTTGTTGAATCGCAGCCAGGATGTTTTACAACAACTTGCTTTCTTACCACTGAGTATTTGTTCCTTTCTGTATATAGAAGTATATGTGATGCACAGAGGAGAAGCGATCAAAAGTCACTGTGCAAATCTGATTTCCTTCCATTTCTGATCATTTAGGGTAAACCTGCATTTTTATGTTAACAAACTTGTACTTTCAAACTTGTGTTGAAGTAATATAGATGTAAGGGATTGGGCCATTTGGACAGGAGGAGGGGAATGTTTAACTCTTCCCATGCCTGCTGGTTATCCTCTATAAATGCTTCTTCCTCAGGCAGTTTCCGTCTCTTATTTATCTTATTCCTTACTTCAGAAGTGATCTGCTGAAAAAAATAGGTTGTAGATGACTGGGGAAGGGATATTCATCTGGCAGACAAGTTAAGCAATTCTCCCTCCCTTCCATATCCCCCACACATTAGTATAATGAGACAATTCCATGTAAGCTTCAAATATTTTATCGATTCTCAGTTAATGCATTCTATTTTTCTACATATTTAAGTTTTTCATGGGGGGAGTGTGTCTATCAGTTGGGTGGCTGTTCAGGAGTACAACAGTTTTGAAGATCCAGAGAGATACTTTATTTATTGCTCATGATATTTTTGAAGCTATCTATGAATGTTCTTGTGCTGCATAGTCTGGTTTTCAATAGTAAATACTGTTGCTGTCCACTGATATTATTTTACTGTGAATGAAAGATAAACAAAGTATTATTTATTTTAACTTTCTGTTCTGCCCTTTCCCTTGGGCTGACAGCATGTCACAGTATTTCAGAAACATAAAGTTGAATGTAATTCTAGAAAGATACAGTGCAGGAGATGAAAAGCAAGTAGTAATTAAATTTTATAATATCCCATCTAAGAACCTGACACACTTTCAGACCAGCTTACTCTTAAGCATTAAAAGTAGCCCAAATAATAAGATCTTAAAATACTTACATAAAATGCCCAGATTTGGATTTTGTTGATTTGTGGAGGGAAATCCTTAGTAATAAAACAGCAACCAGATACACTTCTATATATGTGCTTGAGATATTAAGGAGTAGGTGGTCTCTGAATCCTATATATCTTAATCTGTTTTGGCATTTTATAGGGGAAGACCAAGAACTTTAATCATGCCTAGAAACATGGCTATCTGAAGCCATATTGCTACCCCATTTACCTTTGTCCGTCCAGTGCTGCCCCTGCCTGGTTCAAGGTATCCAGCCCATCTTGGACTTCAGCAGCAGTGGCACAACTGCAGAGGGTGCATGCCTTTTTCTGTACCTCTTGTGCCAGGTCCAAGGCAGGCATAAGATGCACTGCAGTGGGTTTGTCAGCCTCCAAGTTGGGTCCAGGAGATCTCTCAGAATACAACCAATCTCCAGATTACACAGAGATCAGCTCTCCTAGAGAAAATGGATGCTTTGGAGATTAGCACTATACCCTGCTGAGGTTCTTCCCCTCCCTTCTCCGGGCTCCACCCAGGAATTTCCAGGAATTTCCAGAGAAACAAGCCCAGGTACCTCCTCTCACACTGCTGCCCTCTATTAATTTTGCAGCCCCTTGGATTCCTGGAGGGGAGGGAGGGAGGGAATGAACCTGTCTAGAAAGCTAGTAGGAAAGGTATGTAGCTCCTCGAGTCCTAGTTCCAACATGCTGTTTTATAAGCTTTTCCCAAGAGGTCAGCATCTGGATTTTGTATCAGTAGTAGTTCATGAATTAAACTCTATTGATGTTGCAACAGAATTCATGTATTCACCTTTAGTAGCCTGCTACAGAAGTAGTAGTTGCAAAAGATAGTGCTGCGTTCCATGTTTTCTCTAGAAAAGTTTCAGACTGTCCTGAGATTAATCTGGGTAGAAATTTTACACCTACTTTCTGGGTCATTGATTTGCAGGGCCTCCTTTGTTGTTATTGTTTTTTTAAACATTATTTTTGAAATATTCGGACTTTGAACCATTGGGCCCATTTACCAAAAAATAAATGTAGCTACTTCACTGTCCTTTTGTAATATTACTTCTCTACTTTTTAGCACACTACATGAAATTAATCTGGCATGTGTGGATGTTCAGGCACACAGGTACAACTGTAAGTTCAGCAGTATTTTAGAGGGGAAAATACACCGAATCTGCAAATGTTTGGAAAAATCAGCACAGGTGGACTGGAATACAGTATTGTAACTGTTCCAGAACAGAAGTACCCTACGAAGGGTGAACATAAATAATACTTGATAGGTTCATGTTCATAATAAAAGGGTTGTGTCTGTTTTTCTAGAAGGAGGTTATGATATGCGTTTCTGGCCAGTGTTGCCATCTGGACTTCTAGGGAGCAGTGGATTCTAAGGGTACAACAAGACAATAAATCCGCATGGGTATCCACAATAACTTGTAGAGTTGTCTTTTCCCCAAATCACAAGACCCCTTGATCATTATTGTAGTATTGTGTCGATTCAAGATAATCTTTTCCACAGCCCTGACTGTAAGCACACAGATTCCATATTCTGGGTAAAACAGGAAGAGGACACAGTTAGGTGAAATGGAAACATCCACCTTAAGCTTCTTAAGCCTGCTTCTTGATGAAGCAGTTATTCAAGGGGCCTAGTTCAGACGTCCACTGCAGGAGTTAGTGTGATGTGCAAAGTACTTGTGCAGATATCACAAACATCTACTGCTTATTGCCCGTGCCATTTCAGGGAGCTGTTTGTTTAATTTAGCTCTTTATTATATTGCTTTATTAGAGGCTGGGTGCTTACTTGTTACACATTCAAGCATAGGGGCGGGGCTGCAAGAGCCTGTAAGATTTTTTAAAAAAATCTTTCAAGGTAATTCAATTAAAATCCCCCCCCCCCCAAGCCCAGGGCTGGAGTACACATCCCCTTCCTTGGGGGATGAGTCTTACAGGTGAGAGTCTGTCTTCTTACACCAAAGCAGTTCTTGTTGCTCCTTTCAGCCACTCCCCCTCCAAGCACAAAGGTTATCCTTAGCTTCCACTACGTTGATAGTACATATTACAGTATTGGGAATTCATTAGTACTAGTAGGAGTATAGTGCTAATTAAAAAAAATATGTAAAGTTAGGTTGACCCCACCCCCAGGACTTGCAGTACTTATATTCTGATTTCCCTTGTGTTTTCTTTCTACATACATCATGAATTGTTCCTCATGTTGAAAGTGTTAACTGTGGATGGATGTGAAAAAAAAATAAGGCATTGAGTGGGATCATTGCTATTGAAAAAGGCTGTTTGTTTCCACATAATTAGTTTCTGGCTAAGAGAGGTAAAAAAACAGTGCTGCTTCATCTTTCTGAGTTGCCCTTTAGCATCAGACTGCAGTCTGTAAATCTTATGAGGCAGTACAAGCAAGCAATGTCACGTGTGGAAATACACTAAACTCCTGGATAGGGTGGGAAAGCAAGGCACCTCTTGCCTGCCCTCTGTGCTGGAGGAGGATGCATGGAGAGGCAGTCAGTTAGTAGGCTGGGGCAAGACCAAAAATTGGAGGACAAATTTGTGTTGTATTCTAAGGTGTGTTGGTTTTTCTTCTTGTTGTAACGCAGTTGAGTGGCTGAAGGGGGTAGTGATGTTGGATATGTCAGAGTTACTAACTCCTTCGTTTCTCTTCCATGCTTTCTCCTCCTGCAAGGAGCGGAAGGTACTCCATCTTCTGCTGTCTTCGCTTCTTAGCCTTTTTAAGTTTTTTTGTTAATTTCTAGCATTGTGGCAATTTTTGGATTTTTATTTTTGATTTCCCTTTTTTTGATTTAAAAAGTAACTTATAGTTGAATTGGTAGTATGTGCTATGAAACTGCAAGTTATAACTGCTGTGGTGTGCTTCTTTGTTTTGAAATAGTTTCCTTATTTCTACTAATTGTAGTTTATCTTCTCCTGTTTTCTTGCAGGTTTTCATAGAGCTGAATCACATTAAAAAGTGCAATACAGTGCGAGGAGTCTTTGTCCTGGAAGAATTTGGTAATTACATTATTTTGATACTAGGTCTGTACTCACATGGCAGTAACTCAAATTTCTAGTTCTCTCAATCAGACAGAGCTGTGTCTTTCAGATAATGGGTTTATTTTTGTGGGGTGAAGAGGGTCAAAGAAGGTGATATAAGTTGTATCTGAAGGGTTTTCTGAGAAACTGGAGAGGGTAAGTGGGTTTGTGGCATTAGTTAAACTCAGTTGCTAAGAAAGAAATAGTCTCAGTGTGGAATATAGCATGGATCTAAGGAAGTTCTATGGAAGCAAGAAAACTTCAGTAGTGATTTTTCAATAATGCTGTTCTTTCTACTTGAAGCGATGTGACATGCAGCAGATACATGAGTTGGGATAATCTGTTTTGATGATGGGCTCTAAACTATGAAAACTCCTGGTATAATGCATTTGCTGGCTAAAGGAGCTAGAGATGCTTGTGTTCGCTATATGGCTGCTAGTGTCTATTCTGAAAGGAATTGAAGCTAGCCATAAAACGTGGTTATTGCTGCTTGACACAAGTTTTCATAGGGGTCAATGTAATCATTTTTGTTTTTATGGGAGACATATTTTCTGATGGAGAATGAAGAAGAGATGAAAAGGGGCTTGGGTGTGTGTGTGTGTGAAGAATTGTGCCAATGTGTAGAAGTTCACCTGAAGTAGTTACAATTAAATATTAGCTTAAAATGAAATTTCTGGTATATCAGTATTACTTGTCATATGTTGTAATCATGTAATATAGAAAAAAGGTTCCAGAATATTACCTTCTGAAGATGGTTCTCCAAGATATATTTAGAGTATCCTCACAGGTACAAATTGCCGGGTTAGTAGAGACATGATGCTCTTGATGGTGTATAAACAACTTGTCTCACCTGCATAACATGGGCCCCCACACTCACATGATTCTATCTCATCCTATCCACCCATGCCAATAATATTATGTGTCATGAAAAACAACTTCTCATGTCTTAAATATCCCAAATAGACGATAATATGACAATAGGCTGGCAATCCTGAGTGCTACCCTTGTGCCCCTCTTAAAGTATGCCCTCTCCTACCCACCCTTATGTCTGTGCCTCTTGACCTCCCAGTAGGGTTTAGTGTGGTTTTGGTACAAGGTCATCTTTGTCATACAATTTTTGCTTTACCAAGGTACTTATACCCACTTTCTGCTGCATGAACTGTACCATGTGGGCCTGATTTAGTTCTGCATCAGTACTTTTATGTTTTTCTACTGTCTAAACTCTTTTAGTTCAAAAGGAAATTTATACAATTGTTTAATCTTTAGTTAATTTTCTATCCTTTACTGCCATTTGTCTCTTTCTTACAACTTTAGCACAAGGTGTAACAGTCACTGTACATGGTTGAAAGGGAAACATTTGTAGATTCTGTTTTTAAAAATGCTTCCATTCTGGATGGGTATATATTGTGTTCTTTGTGTTTTATAGCATTATGTTAGCTATTGTAGGCAAAAGAAGAGCAGCTGCAGCAAAAGAAGAGCATCTGATAGCAAAAGAAAAAATATTATGGTGAGGGCTCCCAACCTTATTAAGCCTCTGAGCACTTTGGGAATTTTGCAGGAGAGGGTAGTGGGTGCATTCATAAAATGGCTCCTTTGGGGGTGGAGCCAATCATAGAATGCCTAAAGGTTGATGGAAGCAGCTGTTTTCAAATGGGTGCTCCCAGCCAAATTATTGCTTCCTTTCTGAACATCTCCTGCATCAAGGAGGTAGAGAAAAGCCAGAATTGGCTACTTGCTTTGGGGAAGAGATGATGTTGGTTTCAAAAATGGGACAGTTTGGTACATGCCAAGCACAGAACTATAAGAAAACCTGTGTCTCCAACCAAGCCTAGGACTCTTAGCTGTGACCAGTCTGCCCAGGATGAGCTCAGCACTTCAGTAGTCAGTCAGATGATAGGAAGTTATTTGCAGCTTTCTTTTCTTTCCATTCAAGACCCTTTGGATTTTATCCCAAAGAGTCTGAAAGTAAAAAGGTGCCAGGAAACACATTGTCATGTGGCTTATTAAGGATTGCTGCATTGCATAGTCAAGACACAAGCTGCAAATTACATCTAACGTAACATGGCATTCATGTCAAACTAGAAATCTGCTTTTTTTCCTTTAAAGTTTTATAGCCATTATGGGATAAATTGGATTAGAGCCACAGTGCTGGGGAAAGTGAAATTCTCCTTGTGCCATTTTATCTATTTAACCCTGCCTTCGTTGTTTTTTTCCCTTGTGATGGGAAACATACAGGATCCATAACACATATAAATCAGGAAAATTGCAGTTTGGTAGCAAAAACATTACATGAACCAAACGTTACATGAACATTACATGGCAAACCTCTTTTAAAAACATATTGATCTTTTTGTGTGTGTGTGTGTTTGCACGTGTGTCTCTTACATACAGAGTTCCTTTCCCTATTGATAGTTCACTTACCGGTTAGTATGTGAAATGCACCAGGGAAGACAATTTGGAGTGCTTCAGTGAATCAGTGGAAACTGTAGCATTTATGTGACATTTTTTGAGATTCACCCCTTCATTTTTTGTCAAATAGGATACAGCCCCAGACTTTGTGGGTAGATAAAGGGTCTGCATATCAAATGTTATTCTGCATATCAAATGCAGAAGTGGTATGAATGTATAGAGAGACTGGGTATCATAGCTGTCAGGCCAGAGTTACTAACTTCGTAATGGATATAATAAATCCAAAATGGAGAGCCTATATTAGACCAGCAGGAAGTAGAAAACAAGAACCAACTTGAAAAGAGGGGAAGCTAGGAAGATAATTTTGTTTGTTTGCATCAAGAGATCTGGAAGAGTTTGTCTACTCATAATAGACACAGATTTTATTTTGACTAGTGACTGTAGATTCCAAAAAAGGAATACTGCAGGTGAATTTTTTTTTGAGCTGCCTGTCAAAGATATAACCTCAATCCAACAGGTTCTTTTCAGGCACTTGATCTGTGAGGAGAAAATGGTTCAGCCTCTCAGCTCTAAACATTCTTATGAAAACCATATTCTGAACACTCCAACACAACAGAGCATTGAGGTCCAAACTGCCTGTTATATTTAACACATGGTCACCACAGGGACTTGCAGCCAAATGGCAGCTGCAGATTTTAAATTTCAACTCAGTTTTAAATAACGACAGGAACTCAATTTTAAATAATGACAGGGGCTTGATTTGGGCTGAGACTGCAGCACAGGGGAGAGGAGGGGCTCCAGCCCTCCCCTTGCTTCATTTTCCTGACTCATTTAGAACTGAGTTTCCATGGGGATTATGCAGCTGGTGTCCTGCTGCAAGTCCCTGTGGGGGTCATGAGTAAGTAGAGTTGCCAAATCCATCTGGGGAAATTCCCGGAGATATGTTAGCAACGCCTGGAGAGAATGGAGTTTGGGAAGGGGAGGAAGCTCACCAGGAATGTAATTCCTTAGGGTCTACCTCCAAACCTGCCATTTCCTCCAGGAGAACTGATCTCTAAAGTCTGTAGATCAGTTGTAATTCTGGGAGAGCTCCAGGCCCCACCTGACGGTTGTAACCTTATGTGTACAAGGTAACGTATAGTTTAGGCCATAGGTTCTCTCTGACATGCAGAAGTGCCATTGAATTTGAGCTGCTAAAATTCTTGTGGTCTTGGAGTGACCAAGAATGATGGTATGGTTGCTGAATGTTTCTGGTACAAGGCCTCAGAATGGGAAGGGCAGGGCAGGGATTTGCATCACATTGTTCCTCCCTCTTGCTGGGAGACCTGTGTTTTCTACCTTAGAGCTGCATACACTTTTCCTCCTTGGCCTGCCACTGAGCTCTCCTTAAATGGGATTCCCAAATGCTGCCCTCTCTGGTCCCTCCTTTCTTCCTGCTTGCTTGTCCAGTCGCACTCCCAAGCCCTCCCACAGACATAAGCAGTCCCCCTTCTCCAGCCTGGTTGTCTTGCCCTGTGCCATCTTGTCCCATCCCCAGGGACAAGGGCTGCTGGAGTGTAAACACCCCTTTCTTCCCTCTCCTGTTGTTGGCCTCCCACTCTACCCTTCACTGGCCTTTGCCTTGCTGGGCTGGTGATAGTGGTATGCTCTTGGCTACCCTTGTGAATAGCACGGGGCAATCTGCACCTGGTGCTGACATCATCAGTGTATGCCATGCTGTTGCCAGTGAGGCCCCCTGCTTCTTCCAGGTTGTTTGAGCTTGGGCTGCTTCTGCCCCTACCTTTGCAGCCTCCCCCTGATGACCTCCTGGGACAGCTGGTGCTGCATGAGTGATATTTTCATCTGGGCATAGGATATTTTCATCGTTTCATTATTATTTGGGCATAGGATATTTTCATCGTTTCATTATTATTTTTAGATAGCTAGTGGCTTGTTTGCTTTAAAGAAGCTATCTTGCCAACTAAGCACACATAGCTGCTGAATGGAAGCAGCTTAAAAGAGGTGCTATAGATACCGTCCTTGCCAGCCCTATATTTAAATGAGAGATGCAGATACATTAGCAGGGAATATTGAGCCTTCTGTCTGTCCCTTACTTCTTCCAGACAGCATAGAGAGGTAAAAATACATCACACACCTTACCAAAAGACATTTAGGCTAGAAGAATAGTTTCCTGCTTACCTAGTCCTCAGCCCCAAAAATCAAGGTCTTTAGGCAGTTGCAGTGTAAACTACTGAGGTTAAAAGGCTAAGGGAGAAAGAAGCTGGTCCTGGAAACCAGCCATTTCACATCATTGCATGGTCACCCAGTTGTTCTTTTGCCCTGCAAGATACACCTTTTGTAAGTATTCATATACACACAGGACCTGCAAGGATTTTCCTCTGTTCCCCCCTCCCCATACTTTCTTTTCTTGCCCTCTCTCTGGCAGCCCCACTTCTTCTACTTTTTCTTTTTTTCTTTTCTCCCATTCACCTTCTGCCTTTGTCCGTCTCCCCCCCCCCCCAGTTTGTCCCAGACTTCATTTTGTGGATTGCTTGATTTGCATTCTGAAGCGTTAGATGCAGGATGTATGT